GGGCGTACTACCTCGAGCAGTTAGACGGAGAGCCATTACCAAGACCCTGGAATGCTGCTAAGTTGAAGCAGTACTACAGTTAGAAACTGTCAACACCTAGGACCCTCGACCAAAAGCAACCACGCTCGGGCAACGGGGAAAAACGTCCAATTTCGTTTAAGGCTAAGGTACAGGCCCGACACACAACCAAAATGGCACGGCATCGCGCGGTAGACGTTGACGATCGATAGTGCCCGACGTGGACAGCTGTACCGAGCCCCACCGTCGTCGTACCCATAAGGCAGAACACCCAGCTCGCGATGGGCAGTTCACGCCAAGGGCGAATCGTCCCTACGGGCTCCACGCCCGACTGAGCAACCTCGCTCTGAAATGCCCGACATTCCATCAAGAATAACGGGACATCTACAAGGGTCAAAAGAAAATCTCTCCCCTCGAGCGCAACACTTAAGCAACCCCGGCCAACCAAAATAGGGCCGAGATTGCACACAAATGGAGACGAGCATATTCGCTCGCCAAATCACAACCACCTACGGGCACTCCTCGGGCCCGGGACTTGAGCTAAATTCATACAAGCATGTGAGTTCATACAAGGGCAAAAAATCCAAAATAAATAACAAGGTATAAACGCCCAAAGGCAACAAAACAATATTAAACCGACCAAGAAGGCCGGCGGTGTTCAAGTCATACAATGATCGGGCACGCAGGCCCAAAGAATACAAATACAAATATCAAGGGCACGCAGGCCCGCTACCCTACTCAAACTTCCACATTCTCATCATTGTCGACGCCAGGAGAGTCGGGCGGAGGAACGATCGTGCCACCTACAACTCGGTGTGTGTGACCGATACCCTCAGTGACCAGACCGGGGTTTAGCAATGAGAGATGGTCGACTGCAGAATTGAACCCATCTTCCAGAGCACCGACGCAGTCTGCCTCGAGGAGCCGGATGTGGGCGATAAGCTCAGCCCGACTCTTCAAAATCACTAGGTCCTCGGGCTCATCTTCGGCAGGTTGCTGGACAGCATTCAGTTCCTCAACCTGTTTACCCAGGCGTTCGACTTCAGCAGCCAAGCGATCCCTGTCGGTCCGGAGCAACTCCCCTTCCTCAGTCAACCTCCCCGACTTCTCCTTTTCCAAGGTCAGCATCTCCCTCTCGGCATCAAGTATCGCGGTCTGCTCTCGGAACATCCCCTCGGAGCGTTCCAGAGCGACCTTCAACTTCCGCGAGCTCGCAGTCAAGGCCGCCTTCTCCTGCTCGAGCTCTTCAACTCGAGCAGCATCCCCTGCATCCTCAGATAACACCAGAGCCATTTCGGCCATTTTAACCAGCCCGTCCACGCTGGCGGCCAGATAGGCCTTCCTTTCCTCCTTACTCATCTTCTTTATGGCCTCAGCTTCATGAGCGACCACTGTCGGAGGGAACCGCTCGAAAAAGCCCGCCTCTTCGAAGCAAGGGGGGAAGGCAAAAGATTGAACAGCTCCGGCATCCTCCCCGACAGTCGAACCTCCTTCCACGCGGGTCCTCTTCCTCTGCGTTAAAACGGCGCTGGGGTCAATCTCCTCGACCTCTGGATCTGACGCTGCTCCCGAGCTCGACGTCGAATCCACCCTCACCGGCTGAGGAGCGTTCAAGCTTGGTGGTGGTCCCATTCTCGTCGTCTGCGGGGCCTGCACGACCCTCTTGCCTCGCCTCTGGCCGGTTGATAATTTCAGGAGCCTTTCATGTCGGCTGGCCATCGTACCTGCACGAAGTAAAGGAAAAGTCAGTATCGAGCAAACTGCATAAATAAAGGACGAATAAAGAATTTCAAGCAAACAACCTAACAGGCGGGCTGCCTGCCTATATGTCGAACATTCCACCAGCGCCTTGGTGTCGATCGGGCGAGACTCGAATGTCGGGTAACCGTCTTTGTCGAGGATATCATCCCCTTCCCGTGTAACCCATTGGGCAGGATGAAAATTGTCGACAAACCGGCAAAGAGCCTCGTACGACCGCTGATCTTCCGGGCACATGTCCCCGACAGCGGTATGGAAATAACCTGTCCCATGCTCGTAATGTCGGGACATCCAGTACACCGGGAACTTAGCCCGACGTCCTAACACGGGGCTCCCGTCGTCGGCCACCATCGCTTCCCCGTCATCATCGCTGACTGGCCCTTCCTCCTCGAAGAGGGAATCTACAGCAGAGTCGGTAACAGGGCGTACCACATACCACTTGTCCTTGAACCCCCTCACGGAGTCCATATACATCCTAAACAGTCTCCTCGACTGCTTCAGGGACACCCAGCTGTGCTTCCCTCCTCGGGACTGACGCTGTAGGTGAAAGACCCGAAAGAAAAGAGGGATGGTCGCCCCTATCCTCAAGTAGCGACACGTCAACTCAAACGCCCGGATGAAGGCGAGAGAGTTTGGGTGTAGCTGGGACGGGGCCAGCTCCAAATGCATAAAGACTCCGGTCTGAAAATCTGTGAACGGCAGCCGCAGCCCTAAATCCTTAAACGCGATCTCATACATCGCGAAGCTGTAGTTCGGGTACACCGAGCAAATTCTTGCATTGGTCGACGGCAGCATGACCACGAAATTCTGCTGGAAGTCGGGCTGGTCTTGGCCCTCTTCAATGGCAGTGAAGGGATGTCGGTCATCCCGACTATATATTGACGCTGTCCCCCGAGGCTCGACACCCACCCATTTCAGCAATGGGTCGGTCACGGTATCTATTAAGGTGGCCGACTCGTCGGCACTCTGTTCTTCGCGATCACGACGTCCGGAGGAGCTCGGCTCGTCCGCCATGGTTACCTGCAGAGCACGGGAAACCAATCAGTTGAGCACGAAGTCCTATGCTCGACATAATCATGTCGTCCATACACGACTACACAAGTCCGTTTTTTACAAGTGGATGTCTCCCCGACTTTCCTGAACCCAGTGGTCTTCCTCAAACCAACCGCGCGGCCACTCTCCAAGCATGTCGACCCGAGGTATGAACATGGCGAGCCGCACTATGAAGCCCACGGCCACGACCATGAACATACCGGGCACAGTCATGAATTAGGCGCCCGGATCATGAAGACCCCGGGCAGCTCTGAAGTTTTTCACCTAAAACTATGAATGTGTCGGCCACAAGTATGCGTTTGCCGGTCCTAGACATGAATATGTCGGGCAAAACACGAATCTACCGGGCTAATCCCACGCGCACGATCCTAAAACATCTACAAATTCCAGGAATCATGCATTCTAAAACGGAAAAATGAGGAAAGTAGATCACTTACTTGGATCAAAGTTGGGATTTGGCTAAGAGATGAAGAATCTGAGACGGGAAGTCACAACTGGGGAAAGTGTTGAGAGCAGCAACGGAGAGAGCACGGAGAACGGAAAACGTATTATGGGGCCCAAGGACCCTATTTATAGTGATGACGTGGAATACCAAACGTCACCTCGTTCAACCACGGACTCCATCTCCTCGACGCACTGCTCCCAACGCAATGATGGCCCTACCCCCCTAGGGTGGCGGCACAACTCCCGAAAGATGCCTCGTGTGCTCGACCGACGCGCCCGGTACGGATCCTCCACGCGTCCACCACCGAGGACGTCTCCGAGCACGACACGAGGAGACCCCTCGAGGGTCCACGCCTCCATCCCGGGCACGAGACCTCAGCGACGGAACAACTTTGTTTCAAGTCATGGCTCCTCGCAAAGGAACCACGACTTGGGGGGCTCCTGTTCTGGACTGGGCCCGACAGGCCCAAAAGCATTACTAAGGCCCAGTCCAAAGGGACTCACTAAGGACCACACTGGGCAAAGGGGGTCGCGTCCATGCCCGACACCCTGATGTCCACCTCGACATCTCAATGTCCAGCCCCACGCAGTGAAGTCATGCTCGACACCCTGCCGTCCGACTCTGTGTCCTGACGTCCAACTCGACACTCGCTGTTCAGCTCGAGGTCTTGGCGTCGAGCTCGGCACCGTGCAGCGCAGCTCGACATGACCTCGAGCTACCTGGCTAGGGCAGACTCAGTCCACCGTTGCCCCAATGATACTCCGGAAAGACCGCGTCTCTGTCCGCCCGCACTTCACGCAACACATCCAGGAAGGGGACCACGTGCTGGTCCCCACTACCCACGTAGAACCTGGCAGTTCCTCCATTGGGCCAAATCCGCCCGGCCCAATGAAGGAACCTTGGCCCAGCGCTGGGGGCTATAAATACCCTCTGTTTCCAGAGGGTCAGGTATTCATCATTCTAACCTCAACTCTATTATCTGCTCGTACTCCCACTGACTTTAGCATCGGAGTGCCTTGCAGGTACCCCCCCCCCCCCCCCCCCCCCCCCTCCTCGTTCAAAAAGCTTTCAGCTCGGAGCAAGCCGTGACGGTCCAAACCTTCTGATCAGGTCAGATCATCAATCTTATCTCAGAGTATGATAATGTTTGAATATGTTGTGATTATTTACAATATTAAAGAATTTCTCCATAGAAAATGACAAATTCAAATATTTCATATTATAAGAGAGGAGAATGTTTGTGCTAACTATTTAACAAAATATGAGCATGATAATGATACGGTATACCCATTTTTTATTGAGTTTCATATAAGAATGATCGAGGGATACTAATAAAACTTTATTTTTTAGATAATTTTTTTTTTCCTTTTCCACTTATTAAAGAAAACCAAGCTATATAAGTACTATAGACAAATATTCGCCGAGTTTGCTTTAATAGCTGTAACGAAAAAACATATAGACGAATGTTTAATTCCTTGAAGCAGCAGGTAGAATAATTCTTTTGTCCAAATTTAACTTAACGTCTCATTTAAAAAAGGTAAAGACGAGAAACGAAACAACAATAAACATTCCTTTTTGTTCTCTAGATTCGTCAATAGTTATAAGTCACTTTTAACGAACCAATAATATAAGGCCACGTGGTTCCAAATTCATATACCAGAAGCACTTTTGGATAACGCTTATTCGGTTTCAAGTTTGTTATGAACTGTGAATTTCCAAATTGAGAATGGCAATTTCATCATTTCTCTCCGTTCCACCGCCATGTGCCGCCTCCGTGTCCGCTCCTCCAAGGTATAAACTTTCCCCTCTAATTCATTTCAATTTTATTCACAATTTGCTTCAAACCTCTTGTGAATCATCCAGGTGCGTAGATAATGCAAAGAGCTTAAACAACAAAAATTCTACATTCGAAGTGAAAAAATGTTATTCAAGAAGGTTGATTCTTCACTTTTTGGGAATTAACCATGTATTATGTTATGCTGCTCCTGCTTTGCCTTTGGCTTTGGCTGCACCAATTATGGATACGAATGAACCTCAAGTCATAGGGTTTGTCTGTTTTCTTTTCTATTTTGTATATCTATTCTAAATTTGTGCATTGTGATGTATGATTTATTGTTTTTTTTATGTGAAGCATCTAGGACTTTGAAGCTTGCCAATGGAGTCAGAATTCAAGGTAATAAAAAGTGTTGTCGCGCGCGTTTTCGTGGTAAGAAACTGTTTTTTAAAACCTTGCTCATGATAGTTTTCAAATTAGATATTATTGAAGGAGAAGGAGTAGAAGCGCGTGGCGGAGATTTGGTTGAATTCAATTGTGTATGCAGGCGTGCGAATGGATACTTTGTTTTCAGGTGATTAATTTCATGTTGTGAATTTTCCCTCTGTTTTAATATTGCAACAATGTGATTTGCTGATATAAATGTTGCTTTGTTTCATACTTTGATATTCATTATAGTACAGTAGACCAATTCAGTGGAGAAAGTAATCCTGTTATACTTCCTTTGGATGAGGATGAGGTCTGCTTTCTATACTGTTATGCTTTTTATTAGCAATTAATGATTAAGACTATGAGATCTCATCTAATTGTAGAAGTTGCATTTTTAAACAGATGATATTGGGGTTAAAGCAGGTCCTCACTGGTATGAGAGTTGGTGGTAAGTTCTAAAATATAGTCATTGCTTATTTTGCTTACAAACTAGTATTTCCTCTCATGCTTTTCTTATATTGTAAATAATTCTTATGTATTTACTCTTGGCTTCACTTGTAGGAAAAAGAAGAGCATTGATTCCACCTTCTGTAGGATATGTAAATGAGAGCTTGAAGCCAATACCTGAAGAGGTATGCAAAGTTTACTTGTCATTTTTTTTAAGACAAAAGTTAGTTCTTAGTTTATTATTGTTACTAGTTGAGGTTGAGTCCTGAATATTGAGAAAATCTCAAATCTCATTCACCTTATAAGCTGATTTTGTAAGGATGAGTTATGCTGAATTCTAATTATAATATAGTATTAGAGGCTATAGATCGGTCACGGGTATTGAAAAAAATCTCAAGTCCCGACCAAAGTAGTAATTGATATTGTAAACATTTGCATGTTTATTGCAGTTTGGCCCTCGGCGCAGCCTTCTTTCTCATGCACAGGAGCCTTTGGTATTTGAAGTTCAGCTCTTGAAAATTTTGAATGTTTCACAATAATCTGAATTTAATTGAATTGGTTTTTATTTTCATGCGGCAACTGGATTTTTCATTGTTTTTTATTTTATTTTATGATAAGCTACATATCATATATAATCTTGATCTCTCGTGACAATAGTGGAAAAACAATGAAATGTTCATACAGAAATAGAAGAGAGATTGGAAGAGAGATGTGTTAGATAGGATGGAAATTGCAAAGGTTTGAGGAAGGTAGATTTATATATGTGTAAACAGCATACATCCTCAGATTTATTTATTTTGGCCGTTGATTATGTTTTTTAAATAGTCAATTTAGTTTTTGAATATGTTTTTTTTATAGTCATTATAATTTGAAAAAATATTTTTAAAAAATACTATAAATGCAATTGTAATTTCAAATATATTCTGAGATTTAAAATAATTGTTTGTCATAATTGTTGTGAAATGGAGAAATCAAACACATCATAATTGTGTGGGACAAAGAAAGATACCAATAAACTAAATGATCTCAAATAAAATTAATCTTTCAAACAATGTAAACAAATCTACAAAAGCAAAAATAAAGAACAAATACATATATAATTTGTTTATCCAATTCGACCTATTGATCTATTATGAGAGAAAGAGTAATTCTAATATATTATAATTTAAGAGTTGTTACTAGAGATTATAAAATGAGTTATAAAAAAATAATATCTCAAGTTCATGACAACCTCTCCTATTTTCTATTCAAAATTTTCATGATCTCTCATTCACTTAATTATGAATCACACAAATTTAACGTGTTTTATAAATGTTTCTCAATTTCCTTAAATGCACCCAAAGATCTTTCAATTTTTAGAACAATAAATTCTAAGAATTTATCTCTTTGTCTCTAATTCTTCTTTTTAGAAAACTCCATACCTTTTCACTTGCATCCAAAAAAGGACCGAATGATGTCTTTTATAGGTATCTGGCAAAACACGTTGCATTCATGTTTGTTGTTACATTGATTGACTGTATTTCGTAAAACAACACGAGTAACACAAAATGTGAAATATGAAGAGTCATCATGTGAGATAAGATGCTCCAGCGTAAAGTGCAACATCTTGCCTAAGTCTGTTAGCTAGACTTCACGAGTAAATCTGAGCGTGATTGTGTTAGTTAATCCAAATTAGTTAATTTTTTTTATTAAATCATAATCCATAAAGGATGAAGAAAATTTAATTGGATATATTTTAATTAAAAGATTTGGATTTGTTTTAAATAAGAGGATTTGATTTGATTGGATTGAAAAAATTTATTTGAAGATGTCTTGAAAGAAGATTTGTTTCAGATTTAGTTTATTCAAGATTGTGGTGAAATTGGATATGAAAAGGTATTGATTGAATATTCATTTCATGAAGAGATTTAATTTGGATTTGCACTTAATGAGAAAATCTCAAATCTCCATTAAAGATGATTTGAAGTGTGATTCAGTTTTTGGTAAGAGATTTATTCTAAATCATTTACTTGAGAAGTTGGAATTATTTTTTATATCAAGTAAAGATTTTATTTGAATTTTTCAAGATTCAGAATTTTGTTACCTGGAAAAATGTCATGTCAAATGCTCCAACGATCTGTGAGACATTTGTCTCAGACTGTTACTTGGTGAGCAAGATAAATTGAAATATATCTTGTCCTGTTATGATTTGTTTCCTGTTCTATTATATCAAAGATATAAGTTTGTTAGCTTGAGTTTGGATTTAGAAAAGATCTTATTGTAGCAAGATTGTATGTAGAATGCTTAATTTGTATCAATCAAGGATCTCAATCTTTTTAATAAAGATTTGATAGATTATGTGAGTTTTTAGAGGATGTAAATCTGAATCAAATACAACAAGAATAATCAAGAGATTCAGATTTGTTTAAAGTGATCAATTAAGATTAGAAATCATTATTATTGACGATTGATCTCATGTACTTTTCAGAAGTCCAACCGAATTCCTGATGAACTTATGGAGATGGACCTTTTTGGCTATATAAAGAGTTCATCTCCTTTGTGAAGACGTAGACCTAAACAAAAAATACCTACTCATTTGGAGAATTTTGTTTTAGTTGAGTTTTGTTTTTTGGTTGTAATACTTTGTTCCTAAATACTATTTCTATAAGCTTGAGAACAAAGTATTTGTGAGTGTTTTATTTTTCCATCTTTTCAATCATATTACACTTGAGGGAGTGCTTGAGATAGTGAGAGAGAGGTCTCTTATTCAGGGGGGCTGAACGAAACTTCACATGTAGTATTAGGAAATTGACCTTGAACTGAGAGAGTACAGAGAAAGCTCATTTGTCCTTCTAACTAAGAAAAATAGTTTTATAGGGAGTCCTGAATAGAAATACACAGGTAGTTATAGGAAGAGGGGAATCGAACAAGAGTTGTTCATCTAAGACACTTTATACTAATACTATTGAAAGTGAATTTTCTTTCTTAGATTAGAAGTCCCTCAGACGTAGGTGACGTTGCACCGAGTTGGGTTAGTAATCCTTTTGTGTTCTTTATTGTCATATGATTTATTTTCTATTATCTGTCAAATATGGTATAAGATATTGAATATATTGTCTTAGACATCGTGTCCAACATATGTCTTACAGAGAACAAAATTTCAATTAGTATTAGAGATGAAGGCAATCAGCATTGGACAAGGGTTGTTTGTCTAAGATACTTTGTACTAATACTATTGAGAGTTAATTTCACTTCTTGGGTTGAAAGCCTCCGAAGACGTAGGCGATGTTACACCAAACTGGATTTACGATCCTTTGTGTTCTTTATTTTCTAATATCTATCAAAATGGTGTTAGAAGATGTTGAACACATTGTCTTAGACATTGTGTCCAACATATATCTTGTGAAGACCATAATTTTAATTGGCATCATAAGGGACACCTTGTTTTGTTGCCTAGTCTGACGTTACAACTGGCCTGAAGGGTCGGAGAACTGACACTTAGGTTAGTGAGCTACACGCCAAGGGATTATGTGTAGTGGTAGAGTTAATCCGTCATGTAACTCTATATTCATGGCATGTTTCTTAATGTGTGTTTCATCAATCAAGTAGAAATAAGGTATTTGACGATAAAACTAGATTGTTTTAATCAAAATTGTTATAGAAACTTCTCTCTTTTGCTTTCGACCAAAACAATATGAATCTCCCTATTTACTATTTTTAATTACATCACACACCTTATTCTAAATTCACAATCCTTGTGGAGAGGAATTTATTTTTATCACTTCGATAACAACACTAGTACACTTGCTAGTAAATTGTTACACAATAAGGCTTGGACCAGAATTGATGATATTGGAAGATTCGAAATATTGATCAAGTAAAGATTGCACAGAAGAGTTTGACATTTGGCCATATACAATTCAAGATCTAAGTTAAAGATTCTATTTATTATTTTTCTTCAGCATTATTGTATATTGGTTATTGTATATACTCTCAAGATACTTGTTAAAATAAAGGAAAAATTATTAAAGTGGACGTACCCTTGCACAAGGACGATAAAGTCGAACCACTATAAATTCCAGTGTCATCTCTCTATCCCTTACACTTGAATTTAAATTTCGTAGAACATGCATGCTTAGGTTTAAATTTAAAAAGAGCGCATTTTATAAGCTTAGGATTTGTTTAAATTGGAGACCTAACAACAACTTTAATGGTGATTAAAATCTGAGAAATATCCTGCTTTTAGAATTTATTTTGTTGATTAATTACTTAACCACGCCTTGTGACTTATCCAATTAATTCAATTGGACATGTTGTGTTTCTTCGTCTAAGGTATTACGATATTTCTAAAGTGATTTGAGTTACTACTGTATAATTGTAAATTGAGTATAATTTCACATTTTCACTTTATCACTACAAGAAAATTGGCAGATTGCGACAGGTATTTTTGTAGATTACGACGGTTAAAACCGTCGCAATTTGCTTTCCACGACGGTTGCTTTACCGTCGCAGAAGTGTGTGTCCCCAACCTATTTCGCGACGGTTACAAAAACTGTCGTTCAAGTTTACGACGGGTTGATACCGTCGTGACTATCTTTTGAGTTTCTTTTAATTATTGATGGCGACGGTTCGATACTGTCGTGAATATCTTTTGAAATTGATTAAATTGTTTATGGCGACGGTTCGGTACTGTCGCCATGACTTTTGTTTATGTCTTGATTATTTTTTTTCTATTATATATATTTTTTATTTAAATTATTATCTATGTAAAAAATTTTAAATATAGTTTTTTTTTGTGTTCTTTTTTTCTTTAAATTATTTCTTCTTTAATATATTTATTTATAGTATTATTTTTTGTTTTATTTTCTATCACTTTGTAATATAGTAAAAATAATTTCAATAAAAAATATTTAACATCAAATAAGCATTATAATATCCAAAAAAATGTGTGTTCCATAATCATGTAAAATGCGAGTTCCATAATCATGTCAAGTAGTACAAAAAACCCAAAATATATCAATTCCTAATCTTATAATAATAAGTATCATTATGCCAAAAATACATGAGAAAGTTCACAATCTAATTATCTCGATCATAACAAAGTCTAATTTGTCCCCCCTGAAGTTCCATTATCTCCAATACGGTAGCTAGACTCAGATGAACGTTTACCATCAGCGGGCTCCTATCACTGTGAGTACATTGAGAGTCATCGTTTACTGCAATACCCATCGCTTTCATCTCTTCCACTAATGTATTAAAAACACTAGCCACCTTCAGACTCTTGGCAACTCTCTCGAACCTTTGATCCCTGTGCAAAGAATACTATTCACCTTTAGAAAAAAATAACAATTCTTTGGAACATAATAATGATTCTCATCTCATTTTAAAATATATTATACTAGGTGTTCATAAAGAATGTTAGAAATACAAACCTAGTAGCAGCCATAACTATGTTCTTTAGCTTCTTTTTTGGCTCAGAAATGTCCGAGCTCAAAACCTGCAAAGCCAAAAAAATCAGTTTTAGAGAGTGTATTGCTGCTAACACCTCTGATATTTTGTT